TAAGAAGTTTTACAAAGAGGGAAGGGCATGGGTGCTGCTTGCACACTGCAGGGAAGAAATGTGGAGATTCTCTGATTTTTCCAAGATCGCTGCTTCCTCACTGGCGGCTGTTCCCAGTGGAGAACCAGGGATGCTCAGCTGTGGCTGCACACTCACTTCCCCAGGTTTCCCATTTATATCTCTCCTCTGGGATGTCGGAGGTGCTTCCCGATGGAGAACAGGGAACTGGGAAAGGAAAGCTAGCGGCTGCTTATGGTGATGTTGGTTCTAAACGAAGTCTAATTAAAAAAAACAAACACAGACTTCCGGGGACTCACATAATGACAGGAGTTTTTAGGGGTAAAACAGGCAGTTTAGGGAGTTTTAGGAATTAGGGGGCTCATGGGGGAGGGAGGCACAGTTGGTTGGGGACTTGGAGCTGGCAAAAGGCATACATTCACAAAGAACTAAAGATGCCACAGGATAAGGGGAGAGGAAGACACCCATTCACAGAGGGTAGGGGAAAGCACAGGGAGTAGAGAAACAAAAGGAAGAAAGAGGAAAACAGGTTTTCACAGGGAATAGAGAATTCTACCACAGAAGGGGAGAAAAAATGGGGGCCCAAGTGGGGTTTGAGCTTCGAAGCTGCTATAGTGACCATTAAGAAGGGAGCATCAAAAGACAAAGAACTGCAACCTTTATAAACCTTAGGAAAAAGGGGCTTAGTGGGTCACCCCCTTTAGGACCCCCTCCCCATGTGGGAGTCTGTACTTGTTTCAAATAAATTTCCACCTTTCCATATACCACCTTTTATCCATGGCTTCATTCTTTGAATCCACCTGGACAAGAACCTGGAAAAGAAATCAACTTTGCATCCTGCCCAGAGGAAAACCACCCATTTCAGTTTGGTTTTCAAGTTTCAATAACTCATCCCAAACAGCTGAGTCACATTTCCTTGGCTTCTAGAATGTCCCAGAGTAGGGCAGAGCCCTCAGGTGCTGGCATGTGGCATAGTGGTATATGCACCTACAAAACTGTATATTTCGAGTCTGTTGTTTTTACAATGTAAATTTGGGAAGTAAATTCAGTTTGGAGAAATTCTTTGGTTTGGTGCAGTGGTCGGCAAACCGTGGCTCTCGAGCCACATGTGGCTCTTTGGCCCCTTGAGTGTGGCTCTTCTACAAAATACCACGTGCGGGTGCCCACATACAGTGCGATTGAAACTTCGTGGCCCATGTGCAGAAGTCGGTTTTCGGCCTGGGTCTATTTTGAAGAAGTGGCGTTAGAAGAAGTGGGGGGTGTTGGATGGTTGGGCAACGGGAGACACGGCGCAGGTGGGCTGCGGGATACGCAGCGTGGGGTAGGCGCCAAAAATATCAACAGTACTTAAACTATATAGGTAGGTTAATAACAATGTACCTACTTATATAGTTTAAGTTTAAAAAATTTGGCTCTCAAAAGAAATTTTAATCGTTGTACTGTTGATATTTGGCTCTATTGACTAATGAGTTTGCTGAGCACTGGTCTGGTGGGTCCAGTAGAAAGCACAGCCGTGAGCCCTCTGGCGCATGGAGTGGTTGTCCCGTTCCCCAGGTGGGGAAGGGCAGGTGTGGGACTTGCATGAACAGTGGATGGAAGAAGAGGGGATAAGTGCCTTGTGAAGCACTCTCAGCTGCCCTTCTGAGCGTCAGAGCTGGGATTGCCTGCTCCCACAGGCTCCCCTCTGCCAGGCATTTCCCTTTGATACTGACTTTTGCACTGGAACCTGGATTCCTTGTCCGCTGGAATTGAAGAATGAATCCACAGACAGAAAGTGGTATAGCAAAGGTGGAAATTTATTGAAGAATCGATACAGACTCCCACGTGGTAAGAGGGAAGAGTCCCACAGAATGAACTCCCACGTAGGGAGAGGGAATGGGTCCCACTGAGTCCCTTTTCTCTACGGCAGTGGTTCTCAGCCTTCCTAATGCCACGACCCTTTAATACAGTTCCTCATGTGCCGGAAGCCGGTCCATCCTTGCTGCTTGACACAGTCACTGCAGGGAAGAAACATCTGCACAGCATATGTTTCAAGGGACCTGTCGTATATGGCATACTCTTCCTAATGTTTGCTCACCTTCTTGGTGCTATGTGTTTTAACCAAGGTCAACTCTCTGAGAAAGGTTGTTTCCCCAGGTAGGGATTTTTCCCTGAAGTTAAGGAGGGAATAAAACCCCTTAACTAAATGCCAGGGGGGTAGTTAATCACTTTAACTACGAACAATCACCCTTAAGCTACATAATCTTTACTCCCTGGAATGGAGATAAGAAATGCCCTGACCTTTGGAATAGAAATTGATAGGATTAAAATCAACTGGTATAAATATAGATGTAACAAGACAATAAAAGACAGAACCTGGCGACAGAACCTGGCTGGGGAACCTAGACAGAACTTGGCTGGAGATCCTGGCTAGGCTGCTGATCAAGTGAATGCTGTCTCTGTGTCATTCCTTCTTCTCCGACTCTGTCCACACCTTTGGGGACCCCTGGACCTGTTGGGGTTTGACCCCAACATATGGCACCCAAACAGGGACCCCTAGGAAAGCCCCCCATTCCCCTAGGTAAGCCCCCCCTCACTCAGGATGGATAGGACTCCACCATAGGAAGAGGTTGGATAGTCTTTGCCGACTCCGTCCACACCTTTGGGAACCCCTGGAACAGGATTCCCCTAGGTAAGCCCCCCCCCCCATTGAGAACCCCCACACTCTGATATGCAGGATGTATTTTCATTGTTACAAATTGAACATAATTAAAGCATAGTGATTAATCACAAAACAATATGTAATTATATATGTGTTTTCCGATGGTCTTAGGCGACCCCTGTGAAAGGGTCTTTTGACCCCCAAAGGGGTCACAGGTTGAGAACCGCTGCTCTACAGCTTATAAAAACTGCAGTTCCTGTGTCCTGATGTCCCCTCTGGATTGGTCAGTATTCCCCTTCGAATTGGTTACTATAGTGATTCCTAAGGCCCTCCTTCCTCATCGTCCTTCCATTCCACTGGGCTGTCTTCTTTTCCTTCTCTTTATTTTGTAAATATAGACCTTTCCTGGCTACTTCCAGTTCCCTTGTCATATGTAAATGCAACTGTTGCTGCTCCCTTGTCTTATGGAGATGTAAGTGCACCTGGCTTCCTTGTGTTATGGAAATGCCCCTTCTCCTAGTCTGCAGCCCCGTGCTTTTCCATGGACCCCAATTCTAAAAAATCCCTAAGCTTGCCTATCTTCCCCTAAAATTTCTGCTTCACTTTCATCCCATGAGGCCACGGGAGTGATCACAGAAGTAATTACAAAGTAAATGGGTTGGGGAAAGTTGTTTTGTCCTTTTAAAAAGAAATCTCCTTGCCCTAATTGGTTTGGCTTGGTGGATAGAGCATTGTCTTGCGGACTGAAGGGTCCCAGGTTCGATTCCAGTCAAGGGCAAGTACCTTGGTTGCGGGCACATCCCCAGTAGGGGGTGTGCAGGAGGCAGCTGATCAATGTTTCTAATGCTCTATCCCTCTCTCCTCCTCTCTGTAAAAAAATCAATAAAATACATTTAGAAAAAAAAGAAATCTTTTTCTTCACCGCTAAAGATTGTAAAATCGATTGCACATGCACACAGGAGGGGTTTGCATTAATTCCCATTGAACAGAGTCTCTGCCCAGGGTCCTGCATATACCTATTCACTCCTGAAGCGTATCTCTACCTTTCTTGCAGACACACGGCCTCATTTTACACAGTGCATTTAAGGTGGCATGTCACCAAATAAGTTGTTCCTGAAAGATCAGACAGAGGCTGAAAACCAGGACTACAAGTTTTATTAGAGGAGAAGGACCTACTGGGCTGTCTGGCAAGGGGAGGACAGCAGCACATGCAGGGGTGAGCACACCCTTTGAGGGGCAGAATGGGAAGGGGTGGGGGTTTAATGTACTTGGCGCACACTGATTGGTGGCTTACTGTGTTGTTCATATAGAACAATGGCTTAGGGTATTTGGCAGGTGTGGACTGGTGGTCCAATGTATAGTCCATATAAGGAACATGTTAATCACTCAGGTATTTCCGGGCTGCAGGTTACTGCCGGGGTCCAGCCCCAGCGGTCCAGGGGTTCCCAAAGGTGAGGACAGTGTCGGCGAAGAATGAAGGACATGGAGATAGCGTTCAGATCATCAGCATAGCCAGGTTCTCCCTTTATTCTCCTGTTACATCTGTATTTATCCCATTTGATCCTATAAGCATGCCTCTATAGTCACATCCTGGTATGTTTTGGGTCCTCCTTTGACCTTCTACAGTTCCTTGTTTCATGTCCATAGTTTCTTATCCGACCTTTGCCAAAAATCCCATCTTCATCTAGTTCTGTTGATTTTAATCCTATCCACTCTATTCCAAAGGTTAGGGCTAGTTTGTTATCTCCATTCCAAGGTCACTACTCTACTGTTCTGTTAAGTTAAAAGGAAGTAACTGAAGGAGATTCTCTTAAGTAAAGATTATGTAGCTTAAGCGTGATTGTTCATAGTTAAGGTGATTAACTACCCGCCTGGCACTTAGTTAAGAGGTTTTACTGATTTATTTTCTTCCTTAGTCCTGTTAATCCCTAACTCCAGGGAAACATTCCTACCTGGGGAAACAACCTTTCTCGGGGAGGTGGCCTTGGTTAGAATACATAGCACTAAGAAGAGGAGCAAACATATTAAGAACAGTATGTCATATACACCAGGTCCCTTGGAACATATCCTGTGCAGATGTTTCTTCCCTGCAATGACTGTGTCAAGCAACAAGAATGCACTGGCTTCCTGCAGATTACGTCATACTCCGCCCACCAGTTGCGGGGAGGGAGGATATGCTCTGCTTCTGGAAGTCTGATCTGTCCTATGGGACAGCCTGGCAGAGACAGTGAATATAGAAATCCTGCCTGATTCTAGTCTCCACTCGGCTGAGAAGGACTTGAGAGGTAAGACCGTGATTCAGAGCTCAGCCCCAGACCTGGTCTGGAGGAGGCGAGGGCCTCATCTGCTGCTTGTTACAGGATATTGCCCTGGAACTTGAGTCGGGGACCAGCTGGTGGGAAGCAAACACGACCAGCGGAGTCATACTTCTCTGTTCTCTGGATTTTGTCTGACCTCAGGCGGTCTGGAGATTGGAAGGAGCACTACCCATTGGAGCCTTTCTCTATAAGACAAGACAATATACAACTGGTAAGTTCTAGCCAGGGACCAGGGGGTGAATAAGAAGATACTGTTATAAGTGGAAATGGGGTTCTTGAGATGCTACAAGGAAAAGAATTTCCTGAGGTCCCCACAGGAGGATGGAGTTTCATGTAGTGGAGGGCTTTATTGATGATGTAAAATTAAGGGGTTGCCCTCCAAGGTCCCATCTCCTTGGAATTCCTAATAGGTCAGCGCACCAGATAGATGGCAACACAGATACTGGCTCCTTCCTGGAACCCGTGACGGACCTGCCCCCGGCGGGAACTCCCACAGCTCATGCTCCCCTGCCCTCACTGAACAGCTGTATAAAAAATGCCTCCACTCCTTTTCGGCACGACTTCACTGGCCCTGCTCTTTGGGGCCCATGTAGCTTGCCCAGGAGTGCAGATTAAAGTACCACCTTGGATTTGCCTGGCTCTTTAACTCTTTGACTTTGTCTCCTGTATCACTAACCCTTACAGGGAGCACACGGCCAAGTGCAGGTCACAGAGCAAGAGAGAAAGAGAACAAGAGCGAACAAGAGAGAGGGAACTTTTTTCTGAGGTTTTAACCAGTAGCTTCTTCAAACCAATGAACTCTTCAAGATTTCACATGCTTCTGATGGGGTCACCTCCTAGCCAATCCATTGTTTCCCAGGCTAGACTGACAGCCAAGCACCCCCCCTGCAAACCCCTCCCCGACTTGTGCACATGGGCCCATCTCCCCCTGTGTTCTATCCCTTCCCCCAGTGACCTGCAGGGAGTGGACTGGTGGTTCCCAGATGACCATGCTTATAGTGCCTGGCCTCCCCTTTGCTTTTTCCCTTTATTAATATTAACCAGCTAACTCTGGCAATAACAATACTATGGTCGGAGAGAGAAATGTTCAGACTAGGTTTGAGAAATGGGTAGAGGTGCTTTGGTTTATTTTAGTTTGAAACCCTCCAAAGTCAGCACTTCTTCCTACAATTCTCCCCAATGCAGAGAATTCTGGGTGACAACATGCAAGCAGATAAGGCGAAGGGATGTGTCTTCTCTGTATGATTTAATTCACTTAGTATAATGTTTTCTAGGTTCATTCATGTTGTCACAAATGGCAAGATTTCATTCTTGTTATGGTGGAGTCATATTCCAGTGTGTAAATGTACATCTTCTCTACCCACTCATCTATCAGTGCCATCTACCTGCCCTCAGAGTCTTCAGCCATGCCAACCCGCCTCAGCGCTGTGGGTGGGATGAAAAAGAAGCAGGCCTCTTAGGAGTGTCCTGCATAGGAGAGGGTGGGTGTGTGTTTGTGTGTGTGTGTGTGTGTGTGTGGGTGGGGTGAGGGGGAGGAGGGAGACAGGCTCACTGTGCTCTCACTCCCCCATGGACCTCAGGGTTATTCTTGACTGAATTGTGCTGCCTCAGAGGAGGGGTGACATGGGGAAGTGAAACTGCTCTGCTTCCACTCCTCAGTACATCCATTCCTCAAGATTTTGACCCGCTGGACTCTGTGTTGTGGCGTGCGAGCGACCGAATGACCACAAGAGTCCACTCCAATTAGAATTTAAGAGCCTTTATTACTGGCCAGTGACTGCTCACCCTTTCTCCATGCAGGGAGTCCAGAGAGTAGCTCTGACCAGATGCAGAGCTGGGGTTTTAAAGGCTGAAACCACATCCTCATAGACAACCGTGCAGAGCAAGCAAGCGAGTTACATAAGCTAATTTTGCAGTTAGCTTGTTACAGAAGAGCAAAGAAATACCAAGCACTCTTCCTAGAGAAATGGAGGAACCATTCATTAACACTAGTGACTAGTGGACTCCGGGAAATAACTTCCAAATCAGGGTACAGTAACATACAGAGGCTTCGCTTTTTATAATCTACTGGGGTCTTTGTCTTGCAGATATGGTTCAGCCCCCTTGTGGGCTTACAGGAAGGCCCCCAGGTGTTGGGGTTCCCAGGTCATATCAGATGATCTGTCCTGGGGCCAGCAAACCCCCCCCCCCCACCAGGGCAGTGCATTGTTCAGTTTTTATGGCCTGACACGCCTTGCATTTCCTCAAGGTGGGCAAAAAAACAAATCTCGGAAAGTCCCCTATAAGCCTTGTGATTAGAGTTCTTAAAATTTCCTCACAGGAAGTTTAAAAATAAAATGTGCCACTCTAGCACGCTCCCCACTGGTCGAATCATTGATTCTGTGTCGGTGTTGCCTGGAGTGGGGATCTGGGAGACCAGGGCCCCATCTAAGGTGCAGGTGAGCTCCCAGGTATAGTTTATTAATTTATGGGGGTGGCTGCTATTTACCCTTTCCTCACCCCCCCACCCCCACCCCCTGTGGGGCCTAAGATAGCAAGAAGATTAGGGGGAGGGCCGCGTGTAAGTCTAATCTTTAGCAGGTCCTAGGTACACTGGGCGGTCCATCTTTCCGGGAGCTGCTCCTGGGGTGCCTCCTTTACTCACGAGCAGTGTGGTTGGTGTTGAGAGGATGACCTGGAATGGCCTGTCCCAGCGAGGTTCAAGGTTGGCGGAGTGAAGTCTCTTAAGTCAGATGAAGTCCCTAGGTTGAATTTGAGGCCACTTCACTGGGATTTTCAGCTCCTCTGGCCCAGGATGTGCTGCTTTAACAATCTGCTGCGTCTGCTGAGTTGTCCCCTGGAGTGCCTGTAAGGACTTGAGCAAGCTAGAGTTATAGTTTCGAGAGTGCTTCCTGTCCTAATTTTGGCAGGAGCGGAGGCGAGCGCCTGAAAATGACTTTAAAAGGAGTGATTCCCTTTACATATGGGGTGCACCGTACTCGCAAGAGAGCAAAGGGGAGGAGGCTCACCCAGTTTTTGCCAGCTCTAGTTTTAATTTGGTTAAAGTCTTTTTTAAGGTTTTGTTTATTTTTATTTTTTTATCTGCCCCGAACTCTGGGGTCTGTAGATATAGTGTAACTTCTAGGTTATTCTCCGTGTCTTAGCTAAAGATTGAGTTACTTGGGCGATGAACACCCGGCCATTGTCGGACCCCAAAGCTAATGGGAGGCTGAATCGAGGAAGGATCTCTGTGATAAGCTTCTTGGTAACTATCTGAGCTGTCTTTCCTTTGGTGGGGAATGCTTCTGCCTAGCCCGAGAAGGTATCTATGAATGCTAAGAGATACTTATAATTGTGAAAGGGCGAGGGCTATGCCCTCCCCTCCATCTTGCCTGTATCCTCCATGTTGGGGCCACGTGTAGCCTTCTTCCCGGAAGCCCAGGCCTCTGCTGGCCACGCCCGGGATTTTAAACTAACCAATGACAATCAAGGGAAATGTGCGCCATAGATATGACCACATCCTGTGTAACAAGACCCGGCTCACGCCTGGCCAATCGGCAGGGCCCACATACCCTTGCGCCACCCCCCTATTAAAGCCGGATTTTCCCACGGGGGGCACTCTGTTCTTGTCGCTGGGGCCGGCCGGGAGCAGAGTCGGGTTGGCGCCCCCAATAAAAGGACCTTCTGCTTTTGCATCGAACTGGCTCCCAGTCTGGTCTTTGGGGATCATGGAATCTGGGCATAACAATTGTACTAGTAGCCCGGTGCACGAGATTCGTGCACATTAAAAGGGAATTAATTGCCCTAACTGGTTTGGCTCAGTGGATAGAGCATCGGCCTGCGGACTGAAGGGTCCCAGGTTCGATTCCAGTCAGGGGCATGTACCTTGGTTGCGGGCACATCCCCAGTGGGGAGTGTGCAGGAGGCAGCTGCTCGATGTTTCTCTCTCATTGATGTTTCTAACTCTCTATTCCTCTCCCTTCCTCTCTGTAAAAAATCAGTAAAATATATATTTTTTAAAAAGGGAATTAATTAGCAGAGATATTTTAACATTGCTATTTGCCCTTTTTCTATAATAGAAGTGTGAGAGGTGAAAGGAAATTAGTAAAATGTATATGAAAATAATATATAAATTTATTAATAAATAAACAGTAACAAAAGGATATAACAACAACAGAGGCATGATATAAAAACGACAAAAACATGATATGAAAACAACAAAAACATGATATAAAAACAACAGTGATGCAAACAATGACTGATAAAGTGATTAAACTTACTCTAATATCTCCCTGTACATCACATTAAGAGTGAAAACACTTTCAGAGTGCTTGCCTAATTTCCCTTGTGATAAAGTACTTAGAACTTTAACTGTAACATCACATGCTCTTCAAGCTCAGGAGAAAGCAACATATAACTGACCATGTGCAAAAACGGGTTCAGGTAGGAACATGCCTACTCTGTCTAGAGTTTGTCCTTGTGATTTATTAATAGTCATCACAAATGCTGGCATCATGGGAAACCGTTGTCGAATCAATTTAAATGGGAGGCCAGTGTCAGATGGGGACAAATTAATTCTTGGAATCAGAACAGCCGCTCCCTCTGCAGATCCTGTTACTACTTCAGCTTCGATAATGTTAGGTCATAATCTTTTGATAATGAATCTGTTACCATTACAAAGACCCCATTTACTATTGAGATTTCTCAATAGCATGATGATAGCACTTTCAATTTTAATTTATGACATGGCATTCCCCAAGGAGTAATACTATTCAGAAATTCGATGGGGAAATTTTCCTTTGTTTCTTTGTTATGGGGTGGGGCCACAACGTTAGTAACAAAGAAACAGAATTAAAACTTTATTGTGGGGAGCTGCTACAGTGTTTTGGACAGGTTCAAGCGTTGGACTGATGAGAGGGCACAGTCCTCTCATGGCCACGTGCAAGTCCCAGCTTAGAGGGCAAGGCCCTCCCAGCACAATTATAGCCAACAGCTGTAGTTGTGAGCTTGAACCTATAGTCGGAACACGTGGCCCCACATGCCTGAGTGATGTGGGCTTGACACAGTTCAGGTGCATGTAGTTGAGTAGGGTTGAAACCCAGGAGAATGTTTGTAAACATTTTGATCACGCCCTTACTTTGCCTCATAGCATCAGCTATAAAATAAAGGCATGGCTGTGGGCGTGGTCGCTGTCTCTCAGAGAAGCAGTGTCCCACCGAGACCGGCTTTCGTTCTCTTGTCTGTCTTTTCTAAGCCTTTCAGCCGCCCCACTCAGGTTCACCCCGTGCTGGCGCAGCACACTTTAGAAAGATCTGCCTCCACCCTCCCAGGGCGGGTTCCTGCCTCAAACTCTGTCCTTACAGGAAACAGCTCCAGGAAACAGCTTGGGGGAGGGCGCAGCCATTGCCAAGACAACCCCTGTAGGACTGACTTCCTTCCACTCGGTCGTGGCTGTTTGTATGTGATGAACACCACCCATGATTTTTATATAAGTAGATTGGGATGTCTGGATCTTAGTGAAGTCTACCTTCTACCTTTTTCCCGGAGCTTGTCCTCTGTGCTGGGTGGAGGGGAGAGCAGGTGGTCTTGTCTAGGGTTTACAAGTCTGGCATCGCCTTCTTACAGACTTGGAGAGGGTATGTAGCCTAGGGAGGTAGTAGTCTCTGCTGAGGAGCTCCGCCAGCTTCGTGGATCCGAGGTGTGTGCTCTGGTGAATCTGGCTGATCACAGTCCCCCCGAGGGGCTCGGGTAGTAGTACCCTCTGGTCTGGTAATATTTCCCATCCGCTAGCCACCGGCCGAGTTCCTAACTTGTTAGCTAGCTTGTACTCCTCTGTGGAGTGCCTACGTGTTCCTTCTAACAGGTGTGCCAGGAGGACAGGTAAGATGTCCAGGGGCCCCACTGGTTTTTGAGCCACCTCTTTGGCTGTCCTGTCTGCAAATGTGTTTCCCGAGCCTCTTCGGTGTCTGCTGTTTGGTGTCCCTTGCAGTGTATTATAGATACCGCTTTTGGCAACCACAAGGCTTTAAGTAGGTCAAGGATTTCGGGGACGTTTTTGATTTTCTTTTCCCCTGATGTCAGTAGCCCTCTCTCCTTGTACAGGGCCCTGTGGACGCGGATGGTGGCGAAAGCATATCTGCTGTCCGTGTAGACGTTGACTGCTTTTCCTCTTGCCCACCATAGGGCCTGGGTGAGGGCGATGAGCTTTGCCTTCTGTGCTGAAGTCCCATATCCCAAGGCTTGGGCCCAAATTACCCGATCTGCCGTTACCACTGCCACTCCTGCATATCGCATGCCGTCTGATATGAAACTGCTCGCATCCGTGTTCAGGGTTTCATCGGGGTTGGGCAGTGGCAGGTCAGTCAGGTCTTCTTGGAGGTTTTTCAGTGATGACAAAACCTTGGAACAGTCATGCAGGGGCTGTGCAGGGTCATTGTCAGGGAGGAGGGACTTAGGTGTAGGTATCTCATCTGTTCACTAAAGACCATCCTGATGGACAGTTATTTAAGGAAGACCCAGGGCCCATTAAAGCTAACAGGGTCACTTGCACATGCATGCGACTTCACTGTGAATATACGACAAAGGCCTATGACACAGTCAAGCCACTGCCAACTCTCTCTACATGACATGGGAAAACTCTTTTAATCTAATCTGTAAGATCCACCTGATCTTTGTGCTTCCCTTCTCTCTGCCCCTAGCAACATGCCCTCCATGTTTGAGAGAACTACCAAGAAATTGGTCAAAGAGATCGGAGACGGAGAGCTCAGACCTGTCAAATGCTTGGAGAGGGCCACCAAGATACGCCGGTTTTCTCTAATACGGAGAAAGAAGGCTCGCTCTCTGTTTTGGCAACTACCTGATGAACCACTTGACGTCTCCCTCATGCACATCCTCGAACCAGGTTCTTCAGTCCCAGGTATTGTCAGCCAGGGGCATAGGAGGCAGGGGCTGCAAAACAAGGGTGCAGGGAGAAGGGATGCAGCCAGCAAGACATGCTGAGACACCCACACAGGGGACCTCACCATTCCTTAGGGTTAGGACAGTATCCCTGTTATCCAGCCCCTGGGTGGATTCAAACGTCCTCAGGAGTCATTTACACTCAAAATGTCGGCTGATGAGTTAGCTTCTCGGTGGAGATTCAGTTGAGTGGGAGAGCTGGGCGAGCTAGGGCTCAGTCGTTCCGTTTCCATGCCATTTCCCAGCTGTTCCAGAGGGAATTCTTGGCTGAACCTCAGGTACCTTGTTTGTTTCCAGATGCTGCTGTGGAAGTGTCTGCCGTCTTCAGTGACACTGTGGTCACGAAGCAGCAGGCGGCTGGGAGTGTGAATGTTGGGGCAGAAGTGGGCTTCTCGGGGGAGACTGCTTCATGCCGAGGGTCCTCCCTCGAGTACCAGATTGTTAGCACCCCACATGAAACCTGGGACAAGCTTCAGAAGAGGTGAGGACAGGGGGAGGGACCTGGTCAATGGGCCCCACGCAGAGCTCTCCTCTTGGGCAAGGAGGCTCAGAATGAGGAAAATGACACCCCAGATCACACTGCCCTTTTTTTAAAAAAATTTATTTTATTGATTTTTTACAGAGAGGAAGGGAGAGAGATAGTTAGAAACATCGATGAGAGAGAAACATCCATCAGCTGCCTCCTGCACACCTCCCACTGGGGATGTGCCCACAACCCAGGTACATGCCCTTGACCGGAATTGAACCCGGGACCCTTGAGTCCGTAGGCCGACGCTCTATCCACTGAGCCAAACCGGTTCCGGCAACACACTGCCCTTTTTGGATGTTCACGTGTTCATTCCTTCATGGAACAGTGATTAGTTATCTAATAAGTCTTCATTAAAGCTGCGGTTGTCACCTGGCTGGTGTGGCTCAGTGATTGAGTGTCGACCTATGAACCAGGAGGTCATGGTTCGATTCCCGGTCAGGGGCACATGCTAGGGTTGCAGGCTCGATTCCCAGTGCGGGGTGTGCAAGAGGTAGCCGATCAGTGATTCTCCTCATTGATGTTTCTATTTATCTCTCCCTCTCCCTTCCTTTCTAAAATCAACAAAGATATATATTTAAAAAAGAAAAAGCTGCAGTTGTCCATTACTATGCTGTTTTGTGGTCAGGCTAGAGTAATGACAAGACAGATAAAAATCCCTGCCCTAAAACGTATTTACTGGGGCAGGGGATATGCAGTGAGTGAGAAAAATAAGCAATAAAAAATAAAGTTAAAGTATTAATTTAAGTGAGGCAACGGCTCTGAAACTCTGTTTAAACAAAGTATGGCTCAGAGTCTTAGAATTTAATTTATCTCAGTGCCTGTGGGAAAAGACCTTTTAGAAACAGAGATTTTAATTTAAAGAGTATTTTTTCTTTTAAAAAATATTTGTAATCATTTCAGAGAGGAAGGGAGAGGGAGACAGTGATAGAACATCAATAATGAGAGAGAATCATTGATTGGCTGCCTCTTGAAAACCCCTACTGGGGATCGAGCCTGCAATCCGGGCATGTGCCCCGATCCAGATTTGAACTGTGACCTCCTGGTTCATAGGTTGACACTGAACCACTGAGCAACACAGGCCAGGCCTAAATAGTATTTCTATCAGTGCAAAGAAATACTAAAGCAACTAATGAAAATCCCAGGCTATTGGAGACTGAAAGCTACTTTGACCGGGTGTGGCACAGTTTCTCCTGGTGTCTTGTAAGACTTATTAGAACTAACATTTACAAAGACTTTACGGTGTAAAAGAGTATTTGGGTTTTAGCTGCAGGAAAATAAAATAAAATTTGTCCTAGAAATTTTTCAGCAGTTGAAGAGGCTCCAATTTGAGGGACACTTTTTATTATCTAGCACCAAGAAAAAAAAGTCTGTCTGAGGTCAAACTGGCAATGTGAGAAGAAAGGCAGTGAAACACTTTTGATAAATGTATGTGGGTAGTGTCAGGAGCTGGTGGAAGAGGGGCTGGAGGGAGGGGCCTATTTAGGTCTCTCTGTGGAGCTAACAGTTGAACTGAGACCTGCAGAATAAAGGGAGCAAAGAGCAGGAGGAAAGTGGCCCAGATGAGGGGTTTGAAGCCTGGGCCAGGACCAGCTTGGCATTTTCTGGAGCCGTGGGAAGTCAGTGAGGTGGGAGCTTAGCCAACCAGGATGAAGGTGACAGAAGTGAGGCTTGGAGGTGAGTGAATGTCAGATGACACAACATCTTAGAGACACGGTAAGGGCCTTGACTTCCCCCAAAGGGTGACGGGAAAACTCATACTGGACGCTCAGGGACCTCCTCCACTGAAAAGCAATGCAAGGATCTCTCAGTATTCCCCTCGGCTCTCTACAGGGCGCCAACCCAGTGGGGCTTTTAGTGGAATGAGAGTTGAGCCAGAGAACAGAAATGCAGATGAAATCTGTTTTCAGTACTTTCAACCCGTCACATCCCCTGCCCAGACCTGCATCTTCACGGCAGCCTCCCAGCCACCTGCCAGGGACAGTTACTCTGTCCACATCCCCATGTGCTTGTCCTGGAAACTCATCCAGCACCTCCTGCTTCATCACGTTTACCTGTTTGCCCCACCCCACCCTGCTGTGCCTCTAGAGCAGTGGTTCTCAACCTTCCTAATGCCGCGACCCTTTAATACAGTTCCTCATGTTGTGGTGACCCCCAACCATAAAATTATCTTCGTTGCTACTTCATAACTGTAATTTTGCTACTGTTATGAATCATCATGTAAATATCTGATATGCTAGATATATTTTCATTGTTACAAATTGAACATAATTAAAGCATAGTGATTAATCACAAAAGCAATATGTAATTATATATGTGTTTTCTGATGATCTTAGGTGACCCCTGTGAAAGGATCGTTCGACCCCCAAAGGGGTCACGACCCACAGGTTGAGAACCGCTGCTCTAGACAATGGTCAGGCTCCCTGGGGACTGTTGTCAACCAAGTGCACCTGTCCACTCCCGGCCTCTTCAGGTGGGAGGCCCAGGCACTGGGCATCTATAAACTGCCCTCTAACAGGGCCAATATAATTTTAGAAAATGCTGATGCCTTCACAAAAATAGCCTGCGTACTCTCCTCCCACGCCCCATCAGAAAATGGAGACCCTCCACCCTGTGTAGCAAAGAAGATGTTTTGCTTTCCTTGGTAACTTACCCATGTGCCAGGATCTTTCTACCTGCAGCAGGAACACCCTTCCAGGTCCTGAGGAGGAGGGTGACCCAGGGCCACCTGGGAAAGGCATCTCTTCCCACTCTGACCCTCTACTCCCTGCAGGAAACTGCCAGACCCAGAACCGTACTTTCTGAAGCAGTGCCGGGAAGCAGAGGTGAATCTGTATGTTGTGACCGACACCGTGGAGCTGCTCAACAGCCCTGTGCTGCAGGATCTCAGCAGCAAAAAGATCTTGGGGAAATTCTCCCTCCCTCTGGATATTTTGGTCAAGGTATGAGGTGGGGACACTGATCGATAAAATAGGAAGTAGATTTAATTATGTGGTATTACATTTGCTTTGGTAAGGGATGGATTCTGGCAAATCTAAAGGGGTGGCTGCCGTACTATCTACAGGTCCAGTTTTATGCAGGAAGAAATGAGGGACCCCACTACCAAACCTCAGTGGTTGAAGTTCCCTAAATGCTGTGGCTTCCTGAGGAGAATTGATAAGAGGGAGATTTAAATGTCTTTAGGCTTATAGGATTGATATAACTCACAAAAACCAACAATAGTACTTTCAATTATAAAGAAATTCATTTATCAAATAGTGTGTGTTTTAATGTACTCATATACATTATATCTTTTATATATAGTTTGTCCTTAGTTAGAAGAATTAGAAACTCAAGTAAAAAAGCGGAATTCTGAACTAATTTCCCCAAGGTTGGTGATTTTATTTTGAAGGAGGGGAGTCTGAACAAGTGAAACATTGCTCCAGTGTGAAGGGTGTTTGACCTTCAACTTTCGGTTTCCATCTGCTTGAGCTGGAAACTGGCTTTCTGAGAACAGGGGACAATCCTGTGACATTCGTCCCCCACACCCTCTCACTCCCCACAACTGTCACAGCTCTTGCCAGCCAGCTGGGTGCTAAGTGTTGGCCATGGGCTATGATGTCGTTAGACAGTTTGCATATCACCTCTGGGTCATGGCTGCATCAATTTTGTTTTGGTCAATCAGACAAAAGATCAATAAAGAAACAGAGGACTCGAGCAGCGCCATGTAGATGAATTGAACTACATTCCCTAACAGACATACAACATGCTGCGGAGTAGCACACACATTCTCCCCATGCACACCTGGAGTGCGCTCCAGCCCAGCTTACATGCGAGGCCTTCCTATCAGTCTGACCAAGTTTAAGAAGCCTGAAGTTACACCAGATACCTTTTCTGGCCACAGAGGAAAGAAACTAGAGATCAAAAACAAAAGGAAAACTAACAAATTCACAAATATATGGACATTAAGAAATACACTGTTGAATCCCCCTGGGTCAAAGAAGATACCACGAGGGAGATCAGGAATTATCTATAGACAAATGAAAGTGAAAATATAGTACCATATTGTACATCTAAAAATGAGTGAAATACTATCTTTTTGGTGGTTTTTTTGTTGTTGCCACAATAGAGATTAAATGGAAGAGCTACATAATAACAAAAAGCTTAACAAAATTCAAATAAATGTATTCTTTTTTATATAAAACTAAAATCCATCTTGCTTTTATAGCAAGATGTGGAGTCTTACTTGTATCCTCAAATACCTTATTGCCATATTCCTCTTGAACAAGGTATAAAATCATAAAGCCAAAAAAATATATAATGGAAACAACAGCATACAAGAAGTATCTGACTTCTTTCAATATACCCTGACTTCTAATATGTTTTCTTTATCTGTCATTTTCTGCAGTTTGAATTCATGGTCCTGGATCTATGGTTTGGTGTCTGACATTAATTTGGGGAAAATCCTCATTTATTTTTGCTTCCAGTATTTTTTCTCTTCCTTTCTCTTCTCCTTATGTTATCATTACATGTATGTTACAACTTTCATAGTTGTCCCACAGTTCTTGGATATTATGTTTCATTTTTTAGTAATTTTTCTCTTTGCTTTTCAATTTTGAGATTTCTGTTGAGATTTCCTCAAGTGCAGAGGTTTTTCTCTCACTTGTGTCCAGTCTACTAATGAGCCAAACAAAGGGTTTCTTTATTTCTCTTGTATTTTTATCTCTTTAGCATTTCTCTTTTATTTTTTTTCTTAGAATTTCAATCTCTCTGCTTACATTACCTGTCTGCTCTTGCATTTTGTCTGTTTTCCATGAGATCTCTTAGCAAATTGTTATTATTATCTAATCTAATAAAAGAGAAACATGCAAATTGACCATACCTCTGCTATAACCCAAGCCACACCCACCCACCAATCAGGAGTGAATATGCAAATTAACCCAACTAAGATGGCGGCGGCCACGGAGTTGGAGGGAGCAGGAGGCTTGGATTGCCCCCGGTGATGGAGGAAGCCATGCTTCCGACCTGCCCTGCTGGCCCTGAGCTCCGCTCAAGGCTACAAAGTTTCAATTATAGAAGATAAATAAAGCCCAGATACCTGCTTCCAGCCTGCAGATATGGCCAGCCTGAAAATGGCCCTCAGCCCCTCACCCAGGCTGGCCACAACCCCATGAGGTGAGGGTCCCCACTGGGAGCCTTGGCCAGTCTGCAAACAGCCCTCAGCCCCTCACCCAGGTTGGCCAGGCACCCCAGCGGGACCCCTACCCTGATCCAGGACACTCTTCAGGGCAAACCAGCTGGCCCCCACTCATGCACCAGGCCTCTATTCTATATAATAAAAGGGTAATATGCAAATTGACCCTAACAGCAGAACCCCTGGGAATGACTGGTCACTATGACACACACTGATCAACAGGGGGCAGCTGCTCAATGCAGGAGCTGCCCCCTGGTGGTCAGTGTGCTCCCACAGAGGGAGCTCTGCTCAGCCACAAGCCAGGCTGATGGCTGCCAGCACAGTGGTGGTGGCAGGAGCCTCGCCTGCCTCCTCAGCAGCGCTAAGGATGTCTGACTGCAGCTTAGGCCTGCTCCCCACTGGCAAGTGGACATCCCCTGAGGGCTCCCGGGCTGCCAGAGGGATGTCTGACTGCCAGCTTAGGCCCAATCCCCCGGGGAGCGGGGGCACAGGCTGGGCTGAGGGGACCC